CCCGCTCTTTCCTGATCACCCACCCTCAACGCACAGCCCTACTGGCTCTGCCTCCAACCCAGACCCCAGCAATCCCACCGCTTTCTCCTTCCATCCTCCCAGCTGTCAGCATCTGCACAACTGTATCAGCTCCCCACTGGCCTCCCATTTCTGCTGTCACCTCTTCTATTCCACACAGACCACCCAGGGTAATCTTTGTAAAACATGAGTCAGACCACGTTTAAAGCTTTCAGGGGCTTCCCACCACACTGCATTTAAAAATCTGAACTCCTCGCCTGGGCCATCGGGCCCTGTGTGATCTGCCCCTCTCCCATCTCCGACCTTCTTCCCTGCTATTTTCCTTGCCCTTGCTCCAGTCTGCTGGCTTCATTCCTGTTCTCTGGTGTGCCAGGCTCGGTCCTGCCTCAGGGCCTTCATGTGTGCTGTTTCCTCTACCTGGAACGCACTTCCTGTGCAGACGGCTAGACAGGGAGACCTCACCTTATGAGAAGATGAGTGAGGGCCAAAAGGAAGCAACATGGCATATCCTCAAACCTTGATAAGACATAAGCAGAGAGTCCAGAGCCTCCCCATCTTTCTCTGAGGGAACACGGAGCATGGGTAGGACCAGGGTGGAAGGTCTGGTGGCCACTCTGTGTCCAGCGTGGGTGAGGCTGGGTATGGGGGTGGGTGTCGGGGAACATCCAGAGCACTCCTGGGAGATATGTGAGAACCAGGTAGAAGGGAGGGGCCCCTGGAAAAGGTGTAGGCTATGAGAGATGAAGAGAGAAGGGGAAAGTGAGATTTCTAGAGTGGTTAGGAACTGGACCACTTGCTTTGTAAGAAGGAGGTATAGACTGGAATGTCATCTTATTCTCTGGTCCTTCTGGGCCCCAGGAGTTGCTCAAGTTGCTTTACTTCATTTTGCACCATAACAGGCAAAATGGGTCCCTAGTTCCATAAAATGTTATGGAAATGAGAGCATAAAAGAGAAAGGGAGAGAAACAGAAAGAGAAGACATTTTGGAGATTTCCTAGGGGCCCAGGCTCCGAAGCCAGGGCCTCGTGCGTGCGTGCATGCAGGTGAGGAGGGAAGGGGCGTGCGCAGGCAAGTTCTTCCTGTCCAGCTGTTCCATCAGTCCATGTAGGAAGGGCCCAGAGCCGGGTTCCAAGCTGGCAGGAACTCCCACTCCTCCTCAGAGAGGCTCCTTAGGACCGGACGTGTATGTGTGAGTCACAGGCTCTTTTTCAACCTCTGCTTCTCTCCAGAAAAGTCAAGTTGGCAGCTGTAGAGCTGCCTGCAGTTTACAGTCTCCCGACAGCAACCTCACTGGCTGGTCATTGTGAAGATGTGTGTTTTCTCGCTCAGCCCTGCCACCCTGCTGCTCCGTAGGGAAATCAATGGCCATGGACACACCTGCCTCCCGTCCACCTACTCTGCCCCATTGCTCCGACGTGACATCTGACATCGGATTCCTGGCTTCCCCGAGGGCAAGCCCCAACCTGCCACCTGTGGGCTCTGCTGACCTGTCCTGGGATCTGCAGCTGAAAGCATCCTCTTTGCGTTTTCTGCACTTGACAGCCCTTCCTTGGTTATTAGAGTTGGAGACATGGATATTTCTAGATCTGTTAAAGACCATGTTTCCATGGTTCTCTTGCTGTTTTGGCAGGGGTTGGGGTGGGGGCATTTTTGAGAAAAAAAAAATGGCCAAGACTTCTTAATTTCATCATCTTAAAATCACCTTAAGGAGAAAATCATAAAGGGTCTTGAAAAGAGAGAGAGAACAGTTCTGGAGACTCTTTTAATAGTCACTGGTTAGATTCTTTGCTGCACGTCTCAGCCCAGGGACTCCGTTTATCTGGATGATGTTTGGTGTGTGACAGACAGCTGCACAGATGTAACCCTGGCCAGGTCTCCAGCAAAGCCCTGTGGCCTTGTGTTGGGACAGCTCACTTCTCCAGGAAAACAAACCAACCAAAAAAGGATATCCCTGTGAATAGATTTAGGTACTTACCCATACCCTAGATTTTCGCCAGCCAAAGAGTTTTGAAATCTGCCATACACTTTTTCAGTCACAACAGTATGACTCTGAAGGGTAACCTGGTGATATCCTAAGGACCCTAACACAGGGGTCAACAAACTTTTACTTAAAGGGCCAGAGAGTAAATGTTTTCGGCCCCTGGGCAAAATCTTATCTCTGTCACAATGACTCAATTCTGAAAGCAGCAAGCAAACAAAAGGGTGTGGATGTGTTGTAATAAAATCTATTTACAAAAACAGATGGCCAGTCCCTGCGCCCTAATTCTAAGGTCCAGAAAATCCACAAAAGTTGGTTTTCTCATTATTTTATAAAATAAAGATATAAAGATATAATTATATATATATATACATATATATATATATATATAATGTTATATTTTATCAAATAAAGAAAGATCTGGCACAGTCAGTTGACAGATATGGTCTAGTGTGGGGGTTGAGAACAGGAATGTGTGTTTGGGTTTTCTTTTTCTTTATTATTCCAGAAAGGTAGCATGCAGGTATTTACCTTCATTTCCTGGGAGAGTTTGAAAGTTAAGCCCTCCTAGTTCTCAAATCAAAGGACACTATCAATAGTTTCTGATGGATAATGACTTTGACACTGCATTTAGTGGACCATTGAAGTCTATTGTAAGATAAAAAGAAAACAGCGTTGTGAATAAAATGATTATCTCTGCAAAAAATGGAAGTGTTTCTGCAGAAAGAAAAGAAGCTAAACAGTGAGCCTCATTACCAGAGCAGGTGCTAGAGGCTTGGGGGACATTAGCAAAATTGCCCGAGAAGGGGGCGGGTCTGCCACCTGGGATCTGCCAGGTGAGCAGGCCAAGCCAAGGGCCACTGGCACAGCCCGAGTGCCCAGGAGCCCAGTGCGCTGAGTCACTGCCCTCTAAACCCCCAACTCTCTGAAGCAAGAACCTCTCGTCGTCTGTCCCAGCGCCTCTGCCAGGGGCTCCCTTCAACAGCACCAAGGAGGGATCTGACATCTTCCATGTCCTATAGGAGTGACAACCGCCCAGTGTCAGCAGCTGTGCTGGGTCTCCAGTGATTACTCATGGGGACATTCACCGTTCTCTAAATGAGGGCCCCCAGAAGCCCAAGGGAAAGCGTTGGAGTCCTAAAGAAGTAGGGCTGGGGGAGCCTTCCCCATGAGTACTTCCAAGGGCTGGACTGAGCTTTGGAAAAGTGACACCCTGTCGCAAATGTGTGACTACAAATAAGGCAGCCTCGGGAGCACCTGGTCTGCCCACCTCTATCAGTAGCGGTGTTTTTATGCAAGTGGTATGTTCTTAACATCTTGACTGTGACAAGACAAATCCCAACTAAGTCTATATTTAGGGATTCAAATTTATTCTATATTTTGTGCATAAAGTAAAATATGAACATCGTACTATTACATGATACTATTTCAAAGGCACGTAATTTCAGTTCATGTCAAGTTTATAACAGAGAAATGAAGGTGAGCTGATGCTGGACGGCAACCGGAACCCAGGGAAGGGGAGTGTCATTGTAAAAGGGAAGGGCCTGAGAAAAAAGAAAAAGATTTTCTGTCTCTTTAAAACTTCCCCCACTCTTTTTGGGAACTGCAGCCTGGCCTGCATCCCTGAGGCAGGTTAAGTCTTTTGTTAAAACTCCCAGGTGATGCCAGCCCCCCAGGTGGGCAGCTTGGAGTTCACGGGCTTGTCCTTGGCAAGAGATGGGAGATTAGAATAGTTAACCACAGTAATGGCCTGAAGCTGAGAACCCTCCCTTTAAAAGCTCTGTGTTTCTGCCTATGTTCAGGAAATTTGGGATTCTGAGATGAGAAGGTCTACCATTTTTCCTCCTTTGCAAAGTAAACTCTCTTTTCTTCTTCCCCAAACCCCTTGTTCTCGTTATTCTGATTCGGCCTCGTGAGCAAGTGGCTGAGTTTTCAGTAACATCATGGCCTCACCCATGCCCTCTCTGCTGTCAGCTAATACCTCCTATCTCCAGCAGTCCTGTCCTCCAAACTCTAGTCCCACGATCCAGTGCTTTATCTTGTAGGACGACCAAAGGCATCTCAACCTCCACATGTCCTCATGTGCCTCCTACCAGCCCTTCTACGCCCATCTCTCCCCACCTCTCTGTATGGCAACTCCATTCTCCAGCGGCTCCAGCCCAAACACTGGAGGCCTCCTCCACAGCTCCTTTCCTCTTTCAGCCCACATCCAGCCAGGCACTCCCACTCACCATACCTCCTCACTGTCCCTCAGCACCATGTGGCCCACGACCCTGCCCTCTCTCACCAGGGTCACTACCGCACTTGTTGACTGTTCTCCTGTTCTGCCCCTTAGAGTCTGTTCTCAACGTGGGAGTCAGAGAGATCCTGATTAAACAAGAGTCAGATCATGTCACCCCAGCTCTGAACCCTCAGCGATTTTGTTTCTTACTCAGAGTAGCAGTCAAATCCCTCCAGTAGTTCTTAGGCCTTATGCAACCAGCCATGCCCTCCAAACCAGCCCCTCTCCATCCTCATCCTCCTCAAACTCCTGTCCCAACTCTGTGCCTGCCTCCCCAGCCTTCTTGCCACCTCAAGGCCTTTGCCCCGGCTCCTCCCTCTGCCTGGAATGCTCTATCCCATATATCGATGAGGTTCTCTCCCTCACCTCTGTTAGAAATTGCTTTAAAGGTCACCTTCTTAGAGAGGCCTTTTCCAGCCACCCAATTTAAACTTATAATCCCCCTCCTCTCTTTCCCAAACCCCCATTCCCCTTCTCTAATGCTTAATTTTTTCCAATACTATTTACTTTTCCCAGTAGACCGTATAATTTATTTACTTACTTAGTTCAAAAAAATAAAGTCTGCCCCCATTCTAAAATTTAAGCTCCACAAGGGCAAGGATTTTTTTACTATTTTCACTAATTTATGCCCCCCACCAAGAACAGTGCTGGCAGTCCCTTAGTCCCTCAGGTCCTCAGTCATCACTGTTGAGTGAGTGACAGAGTCACATAATTGACTGGTACCAGCTCTGACAACAGGAAAGTCCATCACAATACGCATATGTCATGAGAACCATTAAAGAATGAGATTTCTTTAACAGAAGTGCTTATGAAAAAATTATTAAGACCACCAATAATTACCTGAGAGATGACAATTCACAAAGTAATATAATGGCAAACAAATGAAAAAATATCTCTCCCAATAATAATAAAATGAATGCAATAATAATAATAATACCAATGGTAGTACTCAAACTGTCAAGTACTCTCAAGAAACATTAGTATGAAAACAATTATTACAAGTTTTCTAGAAAGTTAGTTGGCCTTAAAAAATGTTGGGATATGCTTTTATCCAATAATTTCACTTCAAAGAATTTATCCAAGGAAAACAAAATGAAGACAAATAATCATATACAAAGATGCAAATTTCATCATTATTTAAAATAGCGTAAAAGTAAGCAGAACCTAATTGCCAGTAATTGGAGAATGGTTAAATCAATTCTGGTATTAGCCCCATGGCCACCCATGCTCCCCACTTCTTCAAAAAGGCCATCCCTGAAGCACCCCCATCCCATCCATATTACTCTTCTCTTACAATTTCTCAAAACATTATGCTCTTTGCTTCTATAACATTGATCAAATTTATAATTATGTATTTATTTTTGTGCTTATTTTTTATTGCCCATTCCATCCATTAGACTGTAAGTTGTATGAAGGCAGGGGCTCTCTGTGCTTTCTTTATGTCTAGTCCTCAATCTACAACTTCTGGCACATAATAAGCATCCAAAATTTGTTGAATAAATGAATGCATGAACAAAACAAAATGTTATACTCCATTAAAATATTTCTGAAACATTTTGATGGCATAGGAAATGTCTACAATATGATATTCAAGGGAAAAATGAAATTTACCCTATGTTATTTCAACTATTGGCATAGAAAAAAAAAATACACTGAATGAAAATAGTCCATAATATCAACACTAGCTAGGTGCTAAAAAATACATGTATTATTAGTTTTTTCTTCATATTTGTCTATATTCCAATTTTTTTGCATGTATTATTTCTATAATAAAATAATACATAAGTCCTGGAGAAAACAGCAAGGAGCAGAAGAAAGGAGGGAAGACAGTGGAGAAATGCCAAGAACATCAGGGGTGACTCTGGCTGGGGAAGGTGGCAGGGTGCTCTGCAAGCTAGTTCGGGGTGTTCAAGATTCTTGAGCAGATGAAAAGAGTGATCCAGCCAGTGCTAAACTTTAGGAAGATCTCTTTGACAAATTCCAGCCTGAGGGCTGATCAAGCCCCCTGCTTGTTTTTATAAATTAAGTTGCATGGGAACATGGCCACACCTGTTCATTCACCTATTACCTGTGGCTGCTTTCATGCTACAAAGGAAGAGTTGAGTATTTATGACTGTGAGCTGTTATGACCCATAAACTCTAAAATATTTGCTATCTGGCCCTTGACAGAAAATGTTTCTGAGCCCTGGTCTGCAGGGAGTCTTAGAGAAGAAAGAAACTACGACAGGCCAGGTGGTGGTGACAAGGGCCACTGTTTTAAAGGAACGTGGAGGATGACAGTTGCAGACAGATGAGTTTTCACCAATGTCTGTATCTACAGGTAGATGGAAGAACAGCAAAAGGCCCCTCTTACAGGATGAGAGGCTTGCACATGTTAGGCAGTTCCCACCCTTTTGCATGCTCGCTATTTAAATGTACAGCAGGAAGAGGCAGCAATGGCTGGCCCAGTTACCTGAAGGGTCCGACGCGTAGAGACTGGCAGCTGTCGCTATGGGTCCTGGCGGGTGGATGGCACTCGCCGAAGACCTCTGACTCGCGATCAGAATCCTGCTCTTTGCAGAAGGCAACCGGGACATCGCCCCCAGTCCCAGCTGGGGTTTGAGGAGCATGGCCGACCGGTAGAAAGTCGGAGGGACTTCGTAGTGCGTGTAGGGAGGAGAGCAGAATTCTTCTTTCCCAGAGTGGTCTGTAACCTGTGACAAACGATCAGATGCTCAGTCAGAGAACCTCACATCACAGATCCTACACAGGCTCAGGAGACCAGGGCTGCAGCAATGACTGCTCTGGCACCAGGGAGTTACTTGCTGGCAGATCACTCACCTTCTCTGGGCCGCAGCGTCTTCATCCCTAGTTGTTCATTTCTAAACACAACTGGATGATCTCTCAGGTACCTACAGCTCTAATACCCTATGAATCTATATTTTACTAGCAGAAAATGGAACTCCCTCTGTTAGATTTTTTAAATTGCATTGTTACAGAATCATTGGAATCCGGGTGAGATGCCAGTGGATAAATAAATGATGTCAGTAAAGAAAGCCTTTAGCAAATGTTCAAAAAAATGATGAAAGTTTCATCATACTTGTAGAGAAAGGGCACAATTTTTAAGGTAACATAGTCTTAAAAGAAGTAGATGAACTTGATCAATTTATATTAAGTTTTTATTAGGTTAGTTGGGAAATGAAATTGGCATTGTCAATAAGGGAGAAAAGGCTATTTGGAAAAATAGATTAATGGAAAAAATGTGTTTTCAAGCCTCTACTGTAGGTTTACATAATTTAAGAACCAGGGCCTGAATTATCTTCTCTCTCTGTCTTCCCGAGTGAGGTGCTGCTCCCAGGAATGTTTGAACAAGTTTCGCTAGAATGGAAGTTCCAGGGCAGAGTCTTGTCAACTGCTGACTTCACAGCACGTACAATGTGTCTAGCACAGAGCTGAAGTCAATAAATATTTATTAAAGAAATAAATCATATTTAAATTCTTTCCTAAATATAACAACACAACATTACTGTTCCTGTAGTTAACAGTTCAGACTAGAACACAACGGTTTGGACTAGAATAAAAAGGTGGGTACCTTTTTATAGCAATTCTGTCCTCACACAGTCTGTTCATATATGATCAGTGTTTCTTCATATTAAACATGGAAGAAGAGAAAGAACTAAATAATATATTTCCTTTATTTATAATGAAACAGTGCTGAGGGCTATGTATGAAAAGATACATCTGTTAATTAACTCTGTTCTAAACCACCACACGTCTTATGTGTCAGACTTGTATCCATTCAGGGATCACAAGCATTTAACAATATTTTTAATAGGGGCTATAAAAGCTTTGATCCAAGCTGTTGTAAAGATAAACCCTTAAGTTGATACTCTTTTAATGTTGAAGCAGATACAAAGTTTTCCTTAAAATTGCCATTATAGAAGCAAAAGAATTAGGCCTTTAAAGTTTTATCATAATCACACTGTAAAATATGCATGATTGTTAAGTAGATAGATTGTATTCAGGCTGTGGCAAACTATATCTCTATGAAAGAACATTCTACATCTGCACTCTGATAAAACTTTTATCATTTTCTACTTATGCTCTCCCTATTAATCTCTAATTTTTCTCTCATATATCTTTTATTTTTTAATTTTATTTTTAAAATTTTAAGTTCTGTTGCTCATTGCTTAGAGCAGGTGCCCTCATGAGGAAATTAGTATCACTTCCAACCTACATCTATTGGGTTTTTAGGATTGCAATATGCTGATCTCAGGACTTACTCAGTGCTTTGGAACTGGATAGTTTTCAGGGGTCAAAACACACCTCACTCTCAACTCAACAGTGATCTTCAGGATTTCAGTAACTTCAATGCTTGTCATCGTGTTGGGTAATTTGTTTCTGGTAAGACCACAAATTCTTTATAAAAGGGAAAACTCTGCCTCTGATGCCCAGTCTGTGAATTTTAAATTAAACAAGGGAATCTACAAAAAGGCTTCACGCTCTGTTCCTCCATCCTCACTGACCGAACACAACAGACAACTCGGTTCGGTCATAAACACATACAGATCAACCCCAAATGTCACTGTTTTCCCTCCTCCTTCTCTCATGGAGGATTTATGGAGAAGTAACTTTGAAGGCAAAAAAAATAATAATAATAATCCTATGATTTCAAAAAAAACTCCTAAAGTTGAGGTTCCCAAACAAATTCGTGTTGGATTGTCCCTGTTCCTATCTGCCCTGTCCTGGTTTCACTGGGATCGTGTGCTGGGGAGACACAGGAAGGGTGGACCCTGCCCTAGGAAGCCACCAGGTTGGTGGCAGGGGAGGGTGCCGGGGACAGTTAATTTTATGGGGCATCTTGGCTGGGCCACAGAACCCGGATATTTGGTCAAACATTACTCTAGCTATTGCTGTGAAAGTATTTTTTTAGATGAGCTTAACATTTCAATCAGTAGACCTTGCATAAAGCAGATTATCCCTCATAACGTTAGGTGGGCCTCGTCCAAACAGTTGAAGGCCTTAATAAAAACAGACTGACTTCTCCTGAAGAAGAGGGAATCATGTCAGCAGACAGCCCTTGGACTCAAAATGCACCACCAACTCTTGCCTGCATCTCTGGACTGCTTTCACCAGCCTCCATAATCACATGTGCCAACTCCTTCAAATCATAGAGATGTGTGTATGTATGCAGATAACTCAGTCTCTCTCACACACACACAAACACACACACACACACCTGTCTCCTACCGGTCCTATTTCTCTGGACAGCCCTAACTGCTGCAGTGCCCCCCCCCAACTCGGAGATGAGGTGGCCGCAGGGAGCGGGAGGGACAGCAGCCCTGAATTGTACAGCTGTACACCGCGATACCCACCTCACCTCGTCCTCTCAACCCTGCTCCCCTCCTCCCCCGTCCCTTCACCAAAAATGCAAAGGGCTCCCAAGCTGTCAGCCGGAGGGAGGGTCCCCGAGACCTCTGGAGAGCTAGAAGCAGAGAGCAGTCTAAACAAGTGGGCATATTTTATCACCCTGGCACGACTAGATCCCAGATGATCTCTGAAGCCACTTCTGGAAGCTTTCAATGTCTGTGTGGCTCCTGCCAACTGAAAAGAGACTCCCTCTCCCACAAGAGCACTTATTCTTGATTTCTCTGTCTCTATCCACGCTATAGAACCAGCAGGGATCTGTCAATAATGAGGGAAGAGTCTGAAGCTGGTTTGTTTTTTATCTTTAAGAGTCTCCCACAATATTTGGCTTCTATAACTGAAAAATATTTCGGTTGCAACTGGTGAGAAATGTGCTCTTTCCCTGGAGACTGAGGGAAGCCAGCCTGTGGTGAGTTTTGGGCACACTGGCAGGGGAAGGTGGCTTTCGGCTCTCCCTGTACTGAGCCTGAATACGGGACGGGGACTCGCAGGGTTACATCAGGTCACAGCTGCAGGAGCAAATGGCCAAGGGCCAGCCTGTGCCCCACTTCCAGTTAAAGAAGGTTGCCATAGAAATGAGCCCGGCATGACACCCAGGGCTCCCTGCTCTACCCTGCAGCTCGGATAAGAGGCTGGGCCTCTCGGATCCCGGCAGAAAATGGTCCTCAGACACCAGGGCACAGTGGCTGGTGCCAGGCTGTGATGCTCTCACCACATCAACAGGGTCTCTCCAAACCCCTCAGAACCACTAAAGCCACATAGTGTCCCTACGATCCCATTTCCTTGAGTCTGGAGGTGGCTTCTAGATAATAAAGTAGAGAAAACAGTTTTGGGAAAAATATGCATACAATATAGAAATTATTCCTGGAGGGAGTATAAACAACATAGAAAAAAAGAACACACAGAAGAAAAATAAAGAAGGACACAGAGAAAAAATTACAGACAATAACAGGATTTTTGCATACATCTCCACATCGTTTCCCTCATGAGGGTGTTTTTGTAGAGAAAACTCAAGGGTCTCTTCATGGAACTTCTGCGGTGAGAAGACAAAGGTTTATTCGTGTAATTAACCAGCTTTGGTAGCTGTGGTCCCGGGAGCATGGGCTCCCAGAGTCCTTGTGAGGAGGTCCCCTGCCTTAGAGAAGGGCCCAGCATCAGAGTCTGACCCTGAACGCCAGGGGCCCAGGTAGATGAGTGTTTAGAGATTTGAGATTGACTCACCATAACCCAACTCAGACACTGATGCATAAAACCAGAAGGGCAATTTCTCCACTTCTAGTGAGAGACCACTGCCCAGGCCAGCCTCTGGCCAGAACACGCTCTCACTGCAAGGCTCGTGTGAGAAGCCACTTAGAAACAGGATGTCACGCAGTCCTGCACGGCAAGACAAACCCCTGCCAAAGAGACAGACACCTTAATTCTCCAACTGGCGTCCTCCCTCTAGAAAGGTGAGAGGGCAAGCCACTTACAATCAGAGGCTGCTCGCAGGCCCAGGATCAGAACACAGAGGGCGAGCTGTGTAATTCCGTTGTTGAAGGCCCACCTCAGGGCAGCACAGCGTGTTGAACTGCCTGCATCAGTGTCTGCCGCCAAGAATAGATTCACCTTTTCCTCTGTGCTAGATCCAGCCATTTCTGCAGTGACCAATACACTCTTTCAATATGTGAATACCATCAACCAAACTCGAGCCCAACTTTGGACTCAATCATTCTGTTTCCAGAAACCCTTGCTCTACTTTTGTTTGGTTCCAACATGTAGAGGGTTCATGACTCAGCTACCATTCAACATTTTTGGGGCGTGTATTTATGACAAGCACGGTTCTAAACTCTGAGATCACTACAGGGAACAAGCCATTGAACAGAATCCTTGTTCTCGTGGCATTTACACTGTAGTCAATGCAAGAAAACCAAACATGTGTATGTGACAGGTGGAGGTAAGTGCTAGGAAGACATGACCTGCAGAGAGGGAACTCAGAGGGCAGATGGGTGGACATTTGAGAGCTGACCTAGAGCGTGAGGAAGAGGCCATTCAGATAACCTGGAGAAGAGCATTCCAGGCAGAGGGAAGTGCAAAGGTCCTGGGGCAGCAGAGGGGGAGAGGGAGAGTGGAAGGAAACAGGGTGGGTTGCTACTGGAGCCACACCAAGTGCATTCGAAAAGCTGAGCCCTCCTACAGGCTCCAGTTTATGTTCTGAGAGACCTGAGGGCGTTGGGGAGAGGATGGCCCGATCCAGCCTTCTTTTTAACTGGCCCCCGGGCACCATGAAGAGACTGCCTTGGGAGACAAACCTTAGCTCTGAGTCCATGAGGGTGGCTCGCCACAGCACTCTGGTACAGAAAAGGACTGTACCGTGCAGTCTGCGACCGCACAGCGAGGATCTCAGGGCAAGCATCTCCCTGTTCTGTGGCCTTAGGTGTGCGACTTAAAGCTCTCCCAGTCACTTCCTCATCTAAACAGTGACGAAAACTGCAATACCAGCCTTCAGAGAAGTGCTGTACAGATTCGTGAAGACTCACAAAAATTAAATGTTCTATTGCATAGGTCCAACGCACACCAGACACACAACTAAATGTCAGCTGTAGCTTTTATTTTGGCTTAAAAGAAAGAGCCTGTGCCTAACATATTATTTCCCGCTTATGCACTTTGCCCTTCTGTGAATGATTATGAGATTCTCCCAAAAAGGAAATGCTCCTCATTGGAGGATAAGTCTGATGAATTTGAAGAATATCCTTATTTCAGATTCTTTCTTCCTTTGACCTAGCTTATAAAAGAATTATGCTCTCTTATTTAAACATAGAAGCCTATTTAAATGCATATTTATTACCTAAGTTCATATGTTTTATAGCGAGTGAAAATGTAAAAGAGTCTCTTTAGATCTTGGTTCTATCTCATTAAGACCATCACACTCTTCTAGTCAAAAATGGCCATTTCTCTACACAATCTCCTTTGGTCAAAAACGTCCAGTTCTCTACAAGCGTATCCACGAAAATCTGCAATTTTCAGAAAGCACGTTTCGCCTTCCCAATTCATTGAAAATATATAACAGACTTTAGGACACTCAACTTACAGATCATATCACAAAGACATTCTCTTACCTCCTGCAAAAACTTTTCACTCATTTGACTGAAATGATGCCCTGGGGGCTTGATCCCAGACACCATCAATCCGGAACTGAAGACCCTGGGCTTCTGCAAGTCTGGCTTGAACTTCTCGTAGAGGTTGGCAGATGGCTTAAGGTCTCCACTCGCCAGCCCCTCCTCCTGGGGGAGAGGCATGCTGCATGCGGGCGGGGCATACGGAAGCCCCACGGGGACCAGCGAAGCGTCCCCCTGGCCCAGGGCCTGCGGATTCCTCCTGATGTAGGTGATGATCTTGGGCCTCACGTGCTTGGGCTTGGGCATAATGATGGGCTTGGTTTCTGCCCTCTCTTCTGGTTTTTCCACCTGAAGGTTCTCCATTCCCTCCTGCGAGGAAGGCGTGTCCTTGGAATGCGTGAAGACAGGCTTGGGGATCCCACTGGGGCAGGTGTTCCTGTCAGGCACTTTCAGGGATGTGTTCAACAACCGCACACTGTCGCCGGGGGCTGGGACCACCACCGAGGGCGACCCTGTGTCCACGCTGAACACGCTGACGTCCTGAAAATGGCTACTGGGTGTTGCAGGCTGGTGGGTCGTGTTCACAGTTGTCTCTGGGTGGAGGGGCGCTGGGATATTATTGAGAACCGAATCTGCTCTTGCTGGGGTGCTTTCAATCTTAGCTGCGTTTTCTAGAAGGTCCCTACTTTCAGCCACAGGTGTGGCGATCTCTTTCCTTTCTCCTGCTTCTGAGCAGTTGCTTTGAAGGTCCGGGGGCCCAGGGGCCTCAGTGTTGCTCTCTCCAACAGAAGGAACTGATGCCAAAACCAGAGCATGGTCCTTGTCCGCACAGCCCTGTGGCCCTTCCCCCTCGGTGACATCTGAGGGCTTATCGTCAGTCGGATCACTAGGAATAAAGGCCACATGACTGTCACCCGGTGAAAAGTTCCCAGATGTCATTTCACCCAACTTCCTACCTGCACACGGCGAAGTCTTGTCAGAGGGCTGATGACCTGTCGCTCCCAAGGAAGCAGGGCCCTGTGTGGGGGCGGTTTGGAGGGGACCCTCCTCCCCCGGGCTGACTCCTGTCTTCTCCCCAGCGTGGGGGCGCCCCAAGTCCCCTGCCTGGGCTGACGCCAACTCCTGCGTGGCCCGGGGCTGGACATGTTCCGGCGCGAGCTTAGGCTCCCCCTTTCCCTGACCTACTTGTGCTTCTGGCTTGCTCAGGACCTCCTTTGATGGCAAAGTGGAATTCCGGGCGGGTTCTGGCTGGGCGGACCGTGACGGGTGCTCCCGGCAAGCGTCCAGGCCGAGGCCCCCCTCCGGCTTGGCCTCTGTGGGCCTGGTCTCCTTGGTGTCTGAGGTAGATGGTTTGGGGTGACGCACACTCCTCCCCTGCGAGGTGCTGTCGGTCGGAGGGAAAGCTGTCCCCAGAGAGTGGTCCGTCAGCGTCTTCTGCGGCCCCTCCCCAGCCCCGGGCACATGGCACCGGGCTTCCAGGGCACCCAGGGGTGCCGGCTGTGGCTGCTGCCGAGCCAGGCCCCCCGCCGCCACTGCAGGGCCACCCGCCCTTTCCAGAGAATGCCGCCTCAGTTCCTCATTGTCAAGGGTCTTCGCCAGTTTATCCTTGGGAATGTGCCTCGGAGTTTCCGCTTCCCTTTTGGCCAAAACCTCCAGACTGGCCTCACCCATCACGTTCCTCCAGCTCAGCAGACTCGGTCCCTGCACACTCCGAGGGGCCTGCGGGAGATCTGAGCCTCTCTCCGGCGTGTGCTCGTCATTCCGTTCCCTGTGAACACTCGAAGTGAGTCTAGACTCTCTCAGGCCGCTGGAGCCAGCCTGGGATCCTTTCTCGAAGCCCTGAGGTTGGTGGAAGTCCTTATGGAAATGGGTACGGTTTTGGGGCTCGCTTAAGTTTGCATTTCCAAGTTCCCCTGCCAGGTCACTTGCCTGGGACTCATCAAGAGAGGAGCTGACCTCCAGCATGATTTGATTGGCATTTGTGTCTCCTAGACTTAGGATACTCTCATTGTTATTTTTCGCTCCGTTTCTGTTATCCTGCAACTGAGCGTAACATGATTTCTTGGGAGCCACAGGGACGCTCATCCTCAACCCTTCAGCGGGGGCTGCTTGCCATACAGTCCTGCTCGGCGGAGAGTGGCTGCCTCCAAGCTGCAGTTGGGTGATGAAAAATCCTCAAGCTGCTTGTCGTCCCCTGACGATGGCACGTCACGACACTGCTTTAATCATTTTCAGAACAGTTTTAAAACCAAGCGTTGTCTGGTTATACAGCAAGGTGACTTATCCATTAGGTTCCCACTGAATGAGAGCCAATTAGTCCATGAGACCTGGAGAGATAGAAAAACACATTCATGTTAGACTGACAAATAGAGCTGTTCAGGAGACATAAAAAGTATGGTAAACCCCGATTTATTCGTCACTTCTATACCACTGTTTCATTCACTTAATATTTTTTCTCAAAAAACTTTCAGTTTTGGGGGCTCCTGCTGGACAAATATGGAAAAACTGACACATCAAAATGATTAATGTTAGAAATAGATTACAAGTGCATATTAAATCTTAATTTTAAATTTTAAAAATCCACAAGATCATACTGATACTGATTTAAAAGAGTAGAAGAGAAGGGAAGGCTCTTCTTCATAGAAGAACATCAACTAATGTAGAAAAAATTACAGATTTTGAAAAATCACTATTTTGTAATCACCAGAGTAATAATTATCTTAGGCATGGGATGCCACAGTGAAATCATTGAGTAAAAAATTATTGGGGAACAAGATATTTGTAGAATCTTAAAGTATCCATCCCCAGATTATTTTATTTCTTACAACAGGAAAAGTTTATCTTCACAATGGAGAAATTGTAAAGATTAACAAAGTGATCAAATTAAACATCACCAATAATGGAAACCAACATCACGAATTCCTGGCATTGGTAATTCTCAGACCCTCACATAACCTATGTAGTATTCTTATCATTAGTGTTCAACTTGAGTTTCATCATGAGGAAATAGTCAGGCAAATTTCAATTGAGGGAGACTTTACAAAATAACTAGCCTACATAACCCCCAAACATCTCAATGGATCTAGAATTTTCAAAAAAAATGTTAGCAAAGGACATTAGCAGGACAATTAGAGATTTAAATATGGACTGTTTGTTAGGTAACAGCATTGTATAAATATTAACTGTCTTGGTTGTACAATAGTATTATGATTATGTCAGAGGTTATCTTTGTTCTAGGAATATACATGCTTTAGAATTTAAGGGCAGCATCATGTGATTTCTATAACTTAATCTCAAATGATTCAGCCAAGAAAAAAAAAGTATGTGTTGTGTGTGTGTGAAAGAGAGAGAGAGAGAGAGAGAGAGAGAGAAACAAATGCTGTTTGAAAATCTAGCTAAATCACTCTATTATATCTGCAACTTGTCCATAGGTTTGGAATTGTTTTAAAATAAAAAGTTCTGGCCTTCAAGACCCACACGATCCAGCCCCTGCACACACCTCTCTGTCCCGTGCCTACTTCTCACATGTGCTCTCCACTCTGCAGCCACACGGGCCTCCTGCCTCCCCACGCCAGGCTCTTTACTCCCTGCTTCCGGCCTCTGCACACGCTCTTTCTTCCATCTGCATGGAACCCTCCTCCCCCCACCGGATAACTCCTTTTTCTTCAATCTGCTGCATAACTGCCCCCCTCCTCCAGGAAGCCTTCATGACCTATTAGGTTCTCCTATGATGAATTTCATAATATCCTATATTTTTACTTTGCAGAATTTTAAAAAAGACTTTCAGATGTGCTAGATGACAATAAATATCATCTGATACCTGGCATAGGCATTAGGCACTTAATATATATTTGTAGCATGAATGAATGAATAAACAACTGAATGAACAATGAGGAAGATCAATGTTATTTCCACCCTCACAGAGCTTAAAACCTAATATACTTTTTAGTTTTCCATTAAAGTAGACTCCCAGATCATCACTAAGCCATTTGATCCAAGGCTAACATTGCTTCATCCACGCTATGAATGCATTTTATTAGGCCCAGGGGATGGGAGAGTTTAATAGTAACAAGGTTCTGCCCCAGTGAACAGCCGTCCACACTTTCCTCTTCATCTGTCAAGAGTGCATGAGCACACACACACACGCACATGCTACTTGGGGGGCTGCTGTTACGTTTTGACTGGACATAGTTCATAGGACAACATGGCAACACAACTGCTTTCCCTCCATCATTGTTTAATATGTTATTGCATACATTAAAAAGAATTTTTACATGTTATAAAGCAAAATAATACAACAAGCACCCGAGGACCCATCACGCAATGCAAGGACTGAAAGATCTTGCAGAGACTGGCAAGCTCTTCTCTTCCTCGCTGTCCCCATCTTCCCAACTTAGCTTCGTACTCAGCAACCCCTCGTGGGCATCCCTGAACCCTTGGTTCATAGAGCTCTCTTTTCATTTCTTTTGCATCTACATATACCAGCATGCATTTTTTTTTTTTTACACAAATAAGGTCATTTCTTATAGGCCCTCTCTCCTATAACCTAAGACGCATTAACACCCTGGGCTAGGTCATGCCATTTTCTTCGTGGGGAAAACACACACAGTCGTGCATGTGCATATGTGCTTTCCCTTCCCTTCCACACTGCTCTTCTGTTCTTTCCACGACTCAGTGGCCTCATTCTCCCCACTCCCTTGTTCCTTTTTTCCTTCTCCATTTTCTGCTCCCAGCCCTGTCCTCAGTAAGCCAGTGGCACCCCCAGGTGCAGCCTGACCCCAATCTAGCCCTGAACCAGGGTGCTGATACCCTCATCCCTGTGTATGCCTGACACAGAGGGGATTCTCAACTAACCCTCATTTCTTTCTGTATTCAATTTTCAAAGTGTTTCCCTTGAAGATACACATGTCCTCTAAGCACAAATACAAAAGGCATGTAGGCAAATCAATAAGACAGCCGTTTAAAAGAATGCTGTGCTCTCTGGGCTGGAAACAGGTGTCCCAGAAAGCCAAGAAGAGTAAGAAATCCCACAAATATAGGCCATCCACAGAAGGGAAGTGCCTCTCAGTCTCTGTGGGCAGAAATATAAACACAAAGCCAAGAGCCCTCTTTGGTTTGAACTGTCGAGGCTGGGAGAGAGAGAGAGAAACTCTGCTCAGAAGAGATGAGCAAAAACGGAGCATCATAAACCACAACCCACAACTTGACTTCCAGAAAGTGACAGAAGTAAAATCAATGTTTTGCTAGAAAGAGTCACACTTTAATTTTTAAAGAATTACATCATAGGTGTTCTTTATCTTTGTAACTAAACAATAACTGGTGCTCAATTGCTAAGAGGATAGAAAGTTAGAACCTCTTAGGAGCCAGTTGTTATTTTCAACAGTTACACCAATTTGTAGAATTTAAATTTCAATTATCATTATTAATCTTTAAATTTAAGTTAAGCTACTTAACATCTGTAGCAGGCCTCCAGAGACAGGTCTTCACATTCCCTTGATTTGTTTTTCTCCTCCAGGTAAGGAAATGAAAGCAGAGAAGGGGTCATTCCCAAGGTCCATAGCTAAGAAGTCACAGATGGGGACAGAGGTAGAAAGCAACAGTTGTATAAAAGAACAGCTGCCCATGGATGCAATCCACGCAGACCACGTAGGAAGGACAAAAGGAAAAGGCGCCATTGTAAGAACAAGAATAGAAAAGCAAAACCAGAAACCAAAAAAAAAGAGTTCACATGAGACAGGAAAAAGCAAATTTTAAAGCTGCTTCGATTACATAGGGCGAAGTTACACACAAGAGGTAATGTTTCCTGAGTCCTTTCCTCCCTCCATGGCTTCACGCCCCCTTCCCTCCCACCTGCTCCATCGTCCCGGCAGGAGACAGTCGCCAAATACACAGAAATAAAAGATTTTTCTTGAACCAAATTTAAATCCAAGGTCCTCTACTAAGACATTTCCCCCAAATATAATACATGATCATAAAAGTTCAAACTCATAGTGTAGGACTGTGTGTGATTAGACAAAATATGCAAATAGGTCAACCAACTGTGCCAACCCCATTGAGGTAGACCTTCCCAGAGTGAGACATGCAACTTTCACGTGCTTCAGATCCACGATTATATAAAAGTTAGGAACAATGGCCCTAGAGGTAAATGGTATTTTATCTTGGAAAAAAACCACATTAGTTAAGTACTAGATTGGAAAGGAATTTAAGGATCTTCTAGGCTTATAGCCTACCTAATGCTTAAAAGTCTTCCACCAAGTGGTTTCCCCTGGTGTCAGGAAATTCGCCAACTCTCTAGCAGCCCTTGGCACACCTGCGCAGGGCCACTGTTGGCAAGTTCTACCTCCGTAGAGCAGAACCGTGCCATCCTTTTCCCACTGGACCGCCCTTTGGGCATTTTTAAATTGCTATATCCTTCCTTCCTCCCCAAACCTATTCTTCTCCTCGTCGAGAAACTCAGATTCTCCCAACTGTAGGAGAAGCCGTTGGAAACTCCCACCATCCAAGCAGCTTTCCCCTAAGCGCACACACCAGGGAACCTGCAGACTCCCACACAGGTGCTCAGAGTCACACACAATACTCCAGTTCTAATTGCAACAGCCACAGTCACATAGAAGCAAGACTTCCATTCCTTAGTTGCACTTCTAACCACACACCCTGAGAGTGTGGTTAGAAGAGAGACCTCTTCATGGGCACATAAATCACCCTGCTAATTTCACGTCCTTAATTAAAATGCCAAATTATCATGTAAGTTATCCTAAACTACACTGACTCGATCCAAGGCATTTGTTGCTGGCTTTAAGGACCCGTGGGTTAAGACCATAAATATATAACCTCTCACGCTGCCTCTTGCTGGTCTCAGTGAATTGTTCTATCCTGTTTTAAAACTCTGGGGGCCAACCCTTAATTTTGCATCGAAAGTATCTGCAATCCACTGTTGTTTCCATACCATCTTCGAAGAGGTGAGAATGCCTTCCGTGTTTTCATGCATGTCATTGGTATCAATGACAGCGGAACAAAGCAGCCACCTCTGTGCCACAGAGCTGTGACCTCAGATGCTTCCACGATGCTCCTCATCTGACAGGCACTCCGTGGGCACCTGTCTGCCCACCTGTCCCTGCGGCCACCATGTACGTGCCTGTCTTATCCACAAGAGCGTCATGAGAGAAGAAACCT